AAAATCCAGGGAAAGGATTAAAGAAGAAAAAGGAACAGGCTGAGAAAGATAAGTGTCAGGCACCCTTGTCCAGGCAGCTTCCCAAGATCTGCCTGGACACAGGGAACTGAAGCGAGAGGACCAGAGAGTTTCGATTGCCAGAGGGCTGCTTGGAAAAACCCAGGAGAAACTGCTCAAAGAGCCAGTCAGTTAATGGTCACTGAAGATAAAAAAAGAAGTAAGAGTTGTTGGCAGGCAAGTAAGATACCCAAAAAGAAGAGAAAGTGAAACAATCTGTAGAAGATGCTATCGAGAAGGGCCAAAGGATCCCTATGCAGTTCTCGCCAAGGAGATGATCAGGTCAGCAAAGGCTGTGAGGAAGTTCGACACATCCGAAATGCACAGTGACTCTGAGCACATGGGCTGAAGAACCAGCTGTGGTCTTTCAAGGGACCAGTTCTCTGCAGAAGAGCACAGTGATGAAGGCCATGCAGTCCCACGAAGATGCCAGAAATCCAGGCTATCATATGCTGTTCAGAAACAGTAGCCTGGGCTTACAGTACCCTTTGGAAAGCATAAATGAACAAGAAAAAACGGAAGAAGCTGGAATGGGAATCCTGTTTGAGTGGATATGAGTGGCACACACCTGTAAACCTCACTGCTCAGGGGGCTGAGGCAGAAGAACTGCCACAAGTTTAAGGCCAGCAGGGACAACATAGTGAGTTTAAGGCCAGCCTGAGCTAAATATCAAGACCCTGTCTCAAAACCAAACAAACAAACAAAATCCTGTTTAAATGTCCAATATGGACTATGAGCAAAGCACCCACTAAAGCGATCAATTCCTTTCTCAGCCTGAACCTCCAGCAGTCATGGGTGCCTCTGAGGGTGAAAAAGAAGAAGAGGCCTTGGGTGCCACGAGTTTCCAGCTGACCACCTGCCACTGCGAGCTCAGGACTCTGATGGGATGCTAATTTATATGTAAAATATATTTATATGTAATACAATACTACTTTTCTATAAAGAACAAATTTGAGTCATCTGCAGGAAAATGAGTGCATCTTGAAGTGCTAATTTCATGTGTCTCTTACAGTACACCTCCATCACAAGCCACAGAATTTTGGAGAAAGTTCTGTGCTAATATCTCTTCATTTGACCCACAGGTTTTGGGATCTCAAATGCATAGTTCTTATTAAGGTGATGTATTATTTTCAAGAATATAAATAGCTGAAGTTTCTTATTGGGGTAGGGTAGTGAAATTCCCCTTTTTTAACTACTGACTTTTTTTAGAAATTAAACAAAATCATTTTATGTTAAATAAAAATGAAGAACACAGAACTTTAATTATATAATCCTTTTTTCAGTTTTTAATTTTTATTTTTACAGGTACAATTTAGATGTACATAATCATCATATTCTGTACCTGTGTGATTTATCTTGATTCCTCTTTTTTCTCCAATACTTTCCCCTCCCTTCAACCCCTCATCCTCTCCTTATTTAAAAGATTTGTTTCTATTTTATCCTTTTATCTTTTTTCCCCCCTTCCTTTCCCTCCTCCCCCTCCCTAGTTCTTCTGTCCTTTTAAACAATTTGTTCCTATTTCACAACATCTATTGCCCATTTTGGTCCTTATTTACTCTTTCGGTTTCTCACACCAGGGAGACAATGTGGTATTTATACATTACCTAATGCTGATGCTCGTACTATGAACAGAATAGATATTAAAAATTCATGATTGTATCACTTGCATACTACAAATTCCATTTTATAATGAAGAAATTGGGATTGGTCAAACTAAACGATTTATGTAGGATCACGTTTTGAGACAGAGGCTCAAACTAAGAACTTCTGACTTAAAGTACATTTCAAGAAATATGCAACACAAATCTATAAGCAAAGAAGAATGTAATTTATTTGTTCATATACATTGGGAATCAGATTAGTAGATAAAGGAGAAAGGTTTTAATTTTCTTTGGACAAAAATATAGATAAATTGCAGATTTATTCACAGTGTTTGCTCAAAATCATTTGTAGGTTTATTTGTTGTATACATAAATGTATAGAAATGGCATGTTAATCCTTAAATGTTTTATTTAAAAGATTTTATAATAAGAAAAACATTCTACCTAACTTCAGTGTTTATCATTTATTTTAATATTGGTTAGAGAACAAAGGCAATATTTTTCTTTATCCAGAGATTTTTTTGTTCAGACAAGGTTGATATTTTGTATATTCTGTATGTAGATAAAATAATAAAAACTGAAAAACACAGAAAATGCTATATTTTCTAAATCACCACTGAGTACTGATTAGATGCTGAAACAAATTCTCTTACAACTAAAATATAATATGAGAATATACATATATATCTATAGAACTCCACAAGAACAGCTGGATGAGTTTCTTTGCTCTTAACTGAGATACACTTTGATTAAAAACCTCCAATTGTTAACAAGCCTCACTTGCTTTCACAGTGCAGAGAAAGATCTGAATCTTCAGCAGGTAAGATAATTAAATAATTGCTCACAGTATAAATCTCAAGGACATGTATTGAAAACTACCAAAATGGAGAAGAATGACTGACATACAGCAGACAAGAAACGTTTAGGAAGGGTGGTGCTTTGCTCCAGGATCCATATAGCGTGACAGCCAGCAATAATCTGGGTGTAGGTCTGGGTGATCCCAAAGCCTACAATCTTCCTTTTATTACTGCCCTATTTCTGGAAGGCAGGATGCAGTATGTGGGTGGCATTTCAGACAACTTCATGCCACCATCAGCAACACAATCATCTTTTCACTCAACATTGGGAATTTAACCTGTTACTCTCCCAGAACTATTGCGGGGCGGCAGGGGCGGGGGGAGTTCCAACATGACTGATTAGAAAGGGTGGCACATTAGAAATACTCAGAGAAGAGTCACTGAAAAACACAAGTGCTCTGAAATGGGGGAGGAAATCATATGAAGAAATGGAAAACATGAAAGATAATCAATCCAGGTCAAACCAAATATGGGGGTCACTGAAAAGGGGAAGCTGCACTGTGGGAACCAAGTCATTTTGGGAACATGCACACCCATGTTTATAGCAACAAAACTCGTAAGAGTTAAATCTTTGAAGTAGCCTATATGTCCGTCAGCAAACAAATGGATCAAGAAAATATATTTATATGTAATGCAATACTACTTTTCTATAAAGAACAAATTTGAGTCATCTGCAGGAAAATGAGTGCATCTTGAAGTCACAACGTTAAAGAAAGAAATCAGACACGTGCACTTAAACAGTGAATGATTTCTCTTATACGAGAAACAAAAGGAAACAGATCTTCTGCAAACTAAAAAAGGAACCAAGAGATGGAGGGAGGGAAAGAGGAAGGAAGGAAAAGGGGATGTACAGAAACCACATACCCATAATGAAAGTAGTCATTATGCAACATAAACATGTACAAAAACAAAAACAAAACTATGGCAGGAGTACAGCTTAAAATAGTCCAAAAAGGAACTTCCATCATACGTCTGTATTTGGAGACAATTCGAAACTAGATGGACAGGCAATTTCTCACATATTGACAAGTAATACTCCCGTAGTAAAACATTTTCTGAGAAAACTTCTCTAGTGCCGATTCCAGTGTGAGTGGCTCGTTTGGTGGAATGTAGGTTTGTGGACAATTAGTTAAGACAGAATGGACCATTTAATCATTATGGGGTGGATTGGAAAGACATCACTGTCCTTCTCCTTGCTCAGGACTAGTCAGGCCAGGTGAAAGGGAGTGAGCTTGTTGGTTGCTGGCAGTAATTTCTATGCTGTGTGGACTCTAGAGAAGGTTTGTGTCAATCTATTATTTCTCAATCCTGTGTGCAAATTCGACCCAACCAAGACCCTACCTGATCCACGGTTTCTCTTTCTAAAAATATGATTATTTGGATTAGCTTGTTCAGGCTTATGTATAGGGAGATAAATCTTTGAAACAATTTGTACATTAAAGGAGGAGTTTTTAAAATTTTTTAATTATTTATTTTACTTTAAAGAGGATAAAACAGAAAAGAACCAATCAAAACAAACCAGTGTAAGAGATAGGACTTCAAAACATTATGAAATCAACAATGGTTACCATAATGCCTTTTGATGTCTTCAAAATAGCTGCAGGTAATGTTGGACATGGTAAAAATCAAGCAGAACAGAACAAAATAGAAACAATAAAAAGAAAATAATGAATGTAATAAAGGACTTCAAAACAAGCCAATAGCAAATCCAAAATTGCTACCATAATACATCTTGCTATCTTTGAAATAGCTGCTCCTGCCATTGGATTTCACATAATCAAAAAAACAAAGGAGAATAAAACCCAGCCCCAAAAAACAACGAAAATTATATAGGACTTCCAAAACAAGACCACAGGGAATCAACAATGGCTGCAACCCTCAGGAGATCTCCCCTGGATGCCGCAGTGCGTAGCACTATCCTCTGAACCCATCATCAGACCATTGGCTATGGACCTGCAATGTTAGTGAAACACCAAAGCACCACGGGCATCCAATTGCATTTTACTTCCATAGCTATCATCACAGCCTGTGTTTCTCCAGATAAGCCTGATACTTACAGTGGGATGGGGGGAGTAATTCTTGTTTGTCAGCCTGTTTGCTAGAAGGGGCTGAGGTCTGTCTGTTCCAGTCTGGCAGTGACCCACGCATAGCGCTGGTTCCCAAACTGGGCTTGGTTTGCTGGTGTGGATTTGTTCTCTCTACCTTTGGTCCGCAAATGGTGAAGAGGAGTTTTTTTTTCTCTAAATTAGGAAAAAAGAAAAACAAAAAAACAAAGCAAGTTTTCTGTTTCATGCAAACATCTGACAATTTCACAGCTATTCTGTGTTTTTCTGCTCAAGTAGAAACCAGCTGCTTTTCTAGTCTCCCTCAAGCGCCCTGACAAATATATTGTACAGTTTTTTCATTGTCATTTTTTATTTAAGGCTGGAGACAAGATTGAGTATGGGGACAAACTGTCCACTTCTTTACTCACTTATGATCAAAATTATTCTTTTCTTATGATAGCTACAATAGGCATCACTTTACAAATACTTCCTTAGTTCATCCTTGTGGTTAGCCAGTGAAGAAGATGGATTATCTTCATTTCATAAAAATAGGCAAGTGACCCTCAGATTTTCTGCTCAAGTCAGCTTTCTAACTTCAAACCCTAGTCTCTAAGCCAAAGGATTCATGTCAAAAGGCTAGCTTTGTGAAAAACAGATTTCTAGCCAGCCAACCAGAAGTCCCAGTTGAGAAAATGTGGTGTAGAGCTCAGTAGTCTGGTTTTATTTTATTTCATTTCATTTTATTGAGACAGTGTCTGACTATATATTGAGGCTGGCCTCCCAAGTGCTGGGATTACAGGTGTGTGCCACAATCCCCAGTCAGTAGTCTGTTTCTAATAGATGTCTATGATGAGGCAAGTGTTTAAATCTTTTTACTACTCCTCCACCTTTTTATATATTCTACTTAGTATAGCCCCTCCACACCTTTTAGTTCTGCTTAACATCCCTGCCTTTTTAATTCTCAGAACATGTTTTTCTTGTGACTAGTGAGTTAAATTATCCAGTACCTACCTGACCCTGGGGTGACTGGGACAGGAGAATATTGGCTCAAAGTGCAAGACTCCTACAGAAGAAAGGTAGGTAGGAATATGTGCTCTGAGTTGGTCTTCATATGAAAATATGTTCTGTCTATATTTAGGAGTAAGCTAACCCTGAGATCAGTCCGTTCTCATTATTAAGGCCCTTGATGACAGAGCATCAAAAATACAGAAAATGTATTGGGTAGAGTTTAGTCCTATGAGTCCCCTGTAGATTACTGAAACACAAATGCACACTTCTTAGAACCCTCAACTTCTAACTGAAAAAAGGGCCAGGAAGGGACAGGAGATCTCTTCTTAATTGTTTTAGACAATGTAATTGAATTTTCACCCGATATGCTTCCCTATACTTGGAAGTAGCTGATCAAATTTTCTTACTCTGTCCTATTTTTAAAGAAAAATATCTTCATAAATGTGTGGGTTTTTAAATTACCAATATTCTTATAAAATCTGGCAAGGATGTGGCTTACAATTAAAGTATTCATTCATATGCAAATATGGACATAGGATCTGTCAGTTCTTTAAAAGAAGCAATGTGAGAAGAGAAAAGCATGTCATGATTATCTCCAAGTAAGTGTCCCTTTCTAAAATCTAACTGACCCAGTAAACTGTTTTAGCTCAATCTAATCCAAAACAAGTATGAGATGGAGATGCTAGAAAAGAAAGTAGGGGAGTGAGAGGGTTAAGGAAATTTTGGGGGGAATATGCTCCAGAAAGATCAGTTCTCTCTTACCTGCACATGCGGAGACTATGTTAAATAATGTTTCTCAACAGCTTCTAATATTTTGTTGTCATTGACATTGTCATTTTTAGTATGTTCACTAAATTTTTACAAGAGCAGAAATAAAGACAAAGTTTTCCAATACAGAGTTTCGTGAATACCTAGAAACTTTGAAATCATGAATCTGAGAGCTAAAAAAATTTAAGAATTAGAAAATTAATCATTTAGTTATGCAAGCATTAATTCTGCAAGGTATATTACAGTTAGCAGAGGGAACCTGTTCTATTCACAAACATTTTGTGGAGTTGTAATGGAACAATAAGTACAAAGCCCTCTAATGCTATATAGATTGATCCAAAGATAAAATTTGAGGATGACTTTTTCCTGTTTAGTCCAAGAGAAAATACTGTAAAACAACAACAACAACAACAAAAATCTCTCTCCATAAGGAAAATAGTCCAGTAATTTTCCTTTAAAATTAGTTCCCAAAGCCAGCATTTTGATAGCAAAATAGAGTTGATGATTATTTTCGGTGAAAGTCTGGATTTTCGAGGTTCCATACTGCCACTGGGATACATGCACCATACTTAGGAGGCTATAAGAAAGAAAAACTATGTCTGACATTAATGTTGAATGTGTTTGAATTATTATACACTAAGATACTAAGTAACATTATACAGTGTCTGGAGGCCTGGATAACTTACAGGTGTATTCACCTCAGCTAGGATGCAGAGATCCCTAGTGTCTTCTTGCCCAGCCTTCCTCAGATGCTGGCTTGTCCTTGGGCAGGTGCTTCACTGTTTTAAGTTGGCTGCCACATCTTCAGGCATCATATCTCTGTGCAGTGATGTCTCACAGATAAAAGAAGGGAAGAAATAGCACCTGCCTTCTTCATTTATCTTGGTGAGAGATGAAGCTCTACCTCTCCTATCTCAGGGCCACTTGTGTCACGTGCACATTTTTAATCTAATCAGTGACAGAAACAGTATTCAGACTGGGTGGCTCAAATAAATTCTGATTTATACCCTTGAGCCTGGAGAAAAGCTCAGCTTCCCTTAAAGTTTATGATTCAATGACTCCTGAAAACATTTGGGCTTCTGTTGAGAAAGATGAAGGGGATAATGAATGTAAGGCGGATGGCTCCATTAAAAAGGCTTTGGGTGGGCACTAACCCATAGAAAAGTTTATATAATCATCAAAAAATGGGTTTTTTTTCCTCTTTGGCATCTTTATTATTCACAACTTCTTTCAAATACTGAGATGAATGTTGATTTTGTTATTTCCACTTCATCTTGGATATTTTTCTAGATAGAAAAAAATGAGTCTAATTTGGTTTTATCAATCATCCAACCACAGTGTTTGAAGACAGTCCTCACATGACCCCCTTCCTCCCCTGATCACGTCTTCTCCACACCAGCCTCTTTTCTCTCCAACTTTCAGAAGATTACATGAAACACAAATTTCAAGACTTAGCTCTAGAAAGCCCTTGAAAATACTTTGTTGTCACTGAAATCTCCATATTGTGCCTGCAGTGCTCTCGCTCCTTAGTGCCCACATATATTAAAAACTCTGTACCAGTTAGTGTGCCAGAAGCTATCATGACACCCATTTAATACTCACAGGAACTTTATGGTTATGTGTTACTTTTAATCACAATTGCAGAAGTGATAGATTGAGGCACAGAGAGATGATTAGTTTTCCTAGGCCATAAAATGTATAAATGGAGAAGCATTTCACTCCTGTGGAGGAACATTTAAGGTACATAAATAATGAATAAAATGAGAGGGCAACTACATCCTTTGTGCACCCTAGAAGGCTTTATCTTGCTGTTGTAGACCAAAGGAAATTCCTTCTCAATGTTTTGCTATCCTTTTTGGGATTTTTTTTACTAACATGTATTAAGTGTGCATATTAATGGATACAGTGTGACATTTCAACACATGCATGCGTAATTGTGCCTGGATCAAATCAGGGTAATTAACTTTCCCTCTTATCATGTCTTCATGTTTGGAGCCTTTGAGATTCTCTTTTCATCTTCATAAAATACACGATAGGTTATTCTGAACTACAGGCATCCCTCTATGTTTCAGCATACAGAATTTATTTCTTCTATATTTTGCCACCTATTACCTAACTCTCTTTATTCTGTGTTCTCTTTGCTTTCATCTACCTTTTGTAAATCTTAAGTAACTTTTGAATAAAACAAAATAAATGGCATCTGTGGGAAGGAAAGCCCTCTAAAACATCCACATCCTTATAGAGGATGTGAGGTGGTGAATGTTTTACTTTGCATAGCAAAAGGAATTTTGCAGATAGGATTAAATTAAGGATCTTGAGAGGGAGAGTTTATCCTGGATTATCTAGGTGAGCTAGATTTAATCATAGTGTCCTCAAAGCAGGAGGTGGGAGGCCAATCAGAGAAGGATTTGAAGGTTCTTTGCTGCTAGCCTTAATGCCGGAAAAAGGAGCCATGAGCTAAGGAAAGCAGGTGGCCTTTAAGGCCTTTTTTAAGGAAAGCTCAAAATGGCAAAGAAAGGAATTGCTCCTTGGTCTCCAGAAGGAGTACTGCCTCGCTGACATCTTGATTGCTTGTAAAGTATCTATTCAAAATAGTTTGAATTCTGATCACCAATGAAAGAAAGAAATTTTAAACTTCAAAATAATAGATCTTGACCACTGAGGATATGAAGTATTTATTATTACTTTTTATGCACTTATAACTTTGCATTTTACAAATACCCCAACTCTGTTATTCCTCCTATATGACAATGAGGTTATTTATCCCACAGTCTTTAATAATAATTTTAACCTAATGAGTTGTTTTGTTTAATCCCATGCTTTTAATTTTTTACTTAAGTTTATTGTTACACTTTATGTGTACCTAATGATCACATTCACCATAAGGAATTTATACCTGCACATGATATATCTTAATTTTTTTCCTGTTCCCCTGGCCTCCTATCAACTCTTCTTCCTTTCCCTATTTACAAAAGCTCTATTTTCATTTTTTCTCCCCCCCCCCCAGTCCTTTCCATTTCAACATTTTCTTCCTATTTCAAATATCTATTAATATTTTGGCCCTTATTTACACTTTCAGTTTCTCACACCAGAGAAATTATACAGTATTTACACATATGTGCCTGATTTATTTCACATTAGAGTATGTTCTCAGGGTGTATCCATTTATCTAGAAATGTCTCAAGATTATCCTTCTTTATAGCTGCACAATACTCCATTGTATAAAAGACCCACATCTTCTTTATCCATTCATCAGTTGTTGGCCATATGGGCTGTTTTCAAGATTTAGCTATTGCAAACTGTGCTGCTATAAACATGACTATGCATGTATCTCTATAGTACAATGCTTTTAATTCTTTTGGGAAGATAGCAAAAAGGAGAATAGCTGGGTGAAATGGGATATCTAATCCTAGTTTTTTGGGGGTTTTTTGAGGATTTTCCACATTTATTTCTACAGTGGTTGCACCAGTCTACAGTCCGCCCAACAATGGAAAAGGGTTTCTTTTCCTCCACAGCCCTGCCAGCATGTTATTGTTTGATTTCTTGATGATAGCTGTCTTAGTTATTTAATTCCTTGAGGACAAAATATCTGACACCCAAAATTAAGGAAGGGAAAGTTTATTTAGCTCACAGTTTGTGGAGGCTTCCTGCCATAATCAGCTGGCTCCAAGGCAGGGTGGTAAGGCAGAGGGGCAACCAGCACAGCAATGGCAAACAGAAAAGCAACAAGAGACAAAAAGAGAGGAGCATGAGAGAAGACTCCTTCTGTTCCTTATCTGTATGGAGGCCACACCCACTTAGGTGTAGCATTCACATCCATAATCCCAGCACTGGACCATAAATCAGTCACAAACTGTACAAGCCTGCCCCTATGATTGCATGAGGCTTTGGGGGAACACCCAGAAACAAACTCTAAGAATAGCCAATTCTTTCTGGAGTGAGATGGAATCTCAGTGTTGTTTTAATTTGCATCTATCAAATGACCAGTGATGCGGAACATTTTTTCATATACTTATTTTTGCTATTTCTACCACATTCTGAAGAGTTGCTCATAGTCCTTCAGCATTAGCAACATCTGGAAAATTATTAAAAGTTAAATTTATCAGATCACACCCTAATTCCATAGGACCATTGGGGTACTAGTCTCTAATCCACAAAGGATCCTGTAAAATGGACTTAAACTTGCTGAATATCAAGTCACTGTAAGTTCAGTAACTATTGTATAAATTTAAATACTAGCATTACATCTTCTGTGAACATGGTGATTTTATTCAAATAAATTTACTTGCCAAAACAAAAATAAACAACCTATTTGAAGTTCTGTTGAATGATCTCAATTACTATTAGAGCCCTAAAGACCATTTTGGGGTAAGTCACTTCACATCTCAGTGGCTCAGAATCCTTGGAAAACAATTTCTTCTGAAAAATTTTGAGTACGTGTGTGTTTTTTTCTAAGCAAAGGTAAGAATACAGGTAACAAAAAAATCTTTAAAGGGAGAAAAAGTGGAGCATTATTTTCTGCATAAAGCAAATCATCAATACCATCTTTTCTGAAGCTCCTAGTGAGACCAGAGGATAAAAGGACACAGTTCAAGGGCATCAGTAAGCCGAGGACAAGGTGAGATAAGCTCAAGTGAAACTGGAGCTGCAAAAACAAACAAAACAAAACAAAACAAAACAAAACAAAACTATGCCAAGGACAAAAAGACTGACAAGCAGTAGCAAACCTCCATTTTTATATGTCTTCTGCCCCCTTTTTTCTGCCTTCTTAGATCTGTATACAAGCTCCTAAATTTAGACGCTTCCTTTTCATCCTCTTGCCTCCCTCCCCTAGTGAGGGCTTTCCTGGGTTCTTTCTAATAGACCCTACCCTGTTGTTCCTCAGGGTTTGTTCTTGTGTCCTGTTGTCTTATTGCTTCAATTTTTGCTGCCTCAAACAAAAACCCAGAGGGAGAGAGAGCTGGTTACAGCTTTGGTGCCCAAAACAGGGCATGTCTTCTCTGGAGTGCCAGGCGTGGCAGAACAGACAGGTAACATACCCACTCTTTCTCTGTTCCTTTATGGAGACCTAACAGATGTGGGCACTCTGCCAGCCATTTGAATTGCTGCCACTCTTGAGGCAGGGGACAGGTTCCTCAGTGCCTCCTGGTTAATCTCCCACTGAAGCCAGTGACAGCCAGACGGACCTGGATTCTTTTCCAGAGGCAGATTTCGGGTTGCAGCTGGAATGGCAGCTGTGAGACCCTGGCCAGGGCCCCACCCTTGTTGGTACTCCAGGGCCACCTGGTGGAAGCTGGGTGGGTCTCAACAGCCCAACTGGGTTTCCAGCAAAGAAACCTCCACGTATCTATTGTTCCCACCTGCCCTCCTCTGTTATGTAAGAGGTAAACTCACTTGGTGTTTTTGAGGCATCATCTTTCCCAGAGTGACCTGAGATGACTGTCAGACCCCACTCCTAAGCCTCCATTAAGAGTTGACCTGCAGGTTTGAACTTTCTCTCTACTAGTATGACAGCATCCCTTCTCTACTCCTTTTCAGATATATCTTGATAGATCTGGGCCTGGAACAGGTTAGGATCCCAGCCTGCATTTCAGGTCACGCTGGTCCCAGATGTCCCTAGTCTTTTCGCCCCCTCTTTAACTCTCATGCAGAAGAATGTCCCCAGGCCATTTTATTATTCCAGTTCACTGAAGGCTGGCTGTGCTCAAGGGGCAGAGAGTTAGTTCTGAAACTTGCTTGACTGCTTTAGAATACTAGAAAAGCTGCTACTGTTTTTTTCTGGAGGCTGGACTAAAAAATATTCTTGTGAGGGTTTTCTGTTGCTCCTGGAGGCCCTCAAAATATGTTCAACTCAAACCCACTAATACACCATAGGGACTGGGCTAGGTGACACACTGACAGGGAAAGCAAGTAAGGCTGACCTGCCCCACTGAGATGGAATCCACTCTCTTGCTGTTGTGAGCATAGAGAGACAAAGAAAGAGAAAGTAACAAAAGATACAAAGTGGCATCGTTGTCTCCCAACCTCTCTAATAACCAAAGAAAAGGCACTAAAAGTCAGCAAGAGACTTACTGTTATTACCCTGTGGGCCGCCTGCATCTGCTACTAGCAAAAGTAAGCTACTGTTTCTAATGCAGGAAAACAGCTTCCACAAGAACAGCTGAAATTTTCTACGTAAGTAAAATTATTACCACCATGGCCACTTCTAACATTTCAGCTAAGAAATGTAGATTTTCATGATCCAATTAAATGCAAAGCAAATGTATGAATAATATTTCTTAATATTTCCCTTGCCCACCCTATAGCAAGCCCTCCTTATTTCAAGAAAGAGAAATTCTGATTTTTAAAAGTGACGATAGTGTCCATATTTTAATTTGCATTTCCCAAATGATCAGTGATGTTGAACATTTTTCCATAGATTTATTTGCCATTTGTATTTCTTCATCTGAGAGGTATGTATGGATCTCAGTTGCCCATTTTTGGACTGGGTCTTTAAATTGGGGGTCTGATTTTTTTCACTTCTTTATATATTCTAGGTAAAAGTTCTCTGTCTGAAGGACAATTAGCTAAAATGTTTTACCACTCTGTGGTTTTCGGTGGGTTTGTGATTTCTTTTGCCATGCAAAAGCTTTTTAATTAGCTGAGATCCCAGTTGTTGCTTCTAGAAAGTATTTCCCATGAGGTCTGGGTTTTTTCCTACTTACATCTATGCCTTCAGGATTTCTACCTACTTTCTCTTCCAGTAGATTTACTGTACCTATTTTAATGTTTAGATCTTTGATCTATTTTGGCTTTAGTTTAATGCATGATAACATAAATCGATCTAGTTTTAGTCACTAGCCTATAAAGTGCCAGTTTTTCCAGCACCATTTATTAAAGAGCTACCTTTCTTCTAGTGAACATATTTGGCCCCTTTGTCAAAGTTAAGGTGGCTGAGAGTATTTATACTTGTGTCTGCACCTTCTAATGTATTCCACTAATTCTCAGGTCTGCTTTTTTGCCAGTACCATGCTGATTGTATCATGGTAGCTTTGTAGTATAACTTCAAATCAGGGATTGTGATGTCTCCTCCCATTCCTTGGTTGCCCAGGATTGCTTTTGCTATTCTAAAGATCTTATGCATACAAATAAATTTTAGGAATGTTTTCTCTAGATCTGCAAGGAATGATAATGACATTTTGATCAGAATTGCATTAAATTTGTATAACAGTTTCTAGAGTATGGCCATTTTCACTATGTTTGTCCTTCCTATCCATGAGCAAGGGATATCTTTCCATTTTCTGATATCCTCTTCTATCTACTTTTACAGAGTACTATAATAAAAACAGAGCTTTTTAATATAGAGATCTTTTACTTCCTTTGTTAGATAGATTCCTAAGTATTTCATTTTTGGATGTTATTGTAAAGGGTGTGATTTCCCTACTTCTCTTGTAGTAAGGTTGTTGTTTGTGTGCAGTAATGATACTGACTTTTGAATGTTGACTTTACATCCAGCTACACTAGTAAATTTGGTTATTAAACCTAGAAGTCTTTTGGTGGATTTTTTTGGATCTTCAATGAAAAGTATCATGTCATCTGTGAATAATGATAATTTAACTTCTTTATATATTCTTATTTCTTTGCCTCTTTCTTTTCTAAATTGCTCTGGCTAGTGTTCCTAGCCTATATTGAATAGGAGTGGTGATAACGGGCACCCTCATCATGGTCCTGATTTATAGTGAAAGCTTTAGTTTTTGTCCATTTAATATTGGCTATTAGTCTGTCATAGAAGGCCCTTAGCAGGTTGACATAAAACCATCTTTCTGTAGGTTTTTTATTTTTTTTAACATGAATGAATGTTCGACTGTCAAAAGTGTTTTCTGCATCTCTTGAAATGATCATGTGATTTCTGACTTTGGCTTCATTGATATGATGTATTACATTTATTGGTTTGCATATGTTGAATAATTCCTTTATTCCTATAATGAATCCCTATGATTATGGCCACACAGGATTGCTCCTGGGGAAGAAATAAATGTGGTAAGGGTAAAACCACTGGGTTGGGGTGAATCTGGGTGTCTTTAGGGAAAGCAGGGAGGCAGGAGCCAAGCATAGCATATGGCTGGCAGAGGTGGCAGGACACAGAGCCAGCAAAAGGAGTGCTGCCAGGGTCCCTTTTCCAGATCCCCACTTCTCCAGTGGAATGCAAGACCAGGAACACTGCCCTTTGTGGGTGGGGCTGCATCCCTTTGCCACATTCTCACCTTGTGAGAGGGCCTGCACGGTGCCCTGTGTGAGCGTCTGCCTCATCACCAATAAACTGAGGGTTAAATCCAGCCTCTCAGACCTCCAGTAGTGGAGACCACTGTTGTCCCATCTTATAGCTGAGGATACTGAGGCTGTGGGAGCTGGTGTAGCAAGTGAGGAGCCTTTGCACTTCTGTTTACTAGTGTCTGATTGAGAATGTTTGCCTGTGTATTCATTAGGAGACTGTACTCTTTTTTTTTGTTGGTCTTTCTCTGGTTTTGGTAGCAGGGTAATACTTGCCTCCAAGAATGAGTTAGGAGTTCACTTCACTTTCCATTTTATTAAACAGTTTGAGAAGCACTGTCTCCCTTTCAATTGCAGTAAGAGTTTAAAGTGTATTGATGCTAAATTTTCTCTAAATTTCTTGTAGAATTCAGCAGTGAATCCATCAGGACCTGAGCTTTTCTTTGTTGGTAAGTTTTTAGTTACATTTTCAATTTCATTGATTGATACTGGGTTACTCAGAATTTTTATATCTTCTTGATTAAACTTTGATAATTCATACATATCTAAGAATTTGTCCATTTCTTCTGTTTTCCATCCTATGAAAGTAAAGATTTTTGAAGTAGGTATTGATCTTCTGAATTTCCACAGGATCTGTAATGATTTCAACTTTTTATTTCTCCTTGCAATAATTTGTGTATTTTCTTTTCTTTTTATGATAAAGTTGGCTAAATTTTTATTGATTTTATTATTTCAAAGAATCAACCTTGATCATTGATTTTTTGTATCATTTTGTTAGCATCAATTGTGTTAATTTCTGCTGTGATCGACATTAATTTCCTCCCTTCTATAATCCTTGGGCTTTACTTGCTCTTGATTTGCTAGAAAGCTAAAGTATGACATAGGTTGTTTATGCTTGTTCTGTTTGCCTCCAATGAGAATTTACTGCTACAAATTTCCCTCAGCACTGCTTTCACTGTGTGCCACAGGTTCCAGACATTATTTAATTTCTTTTATTTCATCTGTGGCCCGTAGGCTGTCCATGGAGCTTTTGAAGTTTCTTTTGTCATGAATTTCCAATTTCTTTGCACTATGGTCATATAATATACATAGGATCATTTCAATTCTTCTGCATTTACTTAAGCATGTTCTATTAGTATATGGTCTATTTCAGAGAACATTTCATGTGTAGCTGAGAATAATGTATGCTGAGGTTGTTGGGTAAAAACTCTGAAAATATCTACTAAGTCTATTTGTTCACAGGTTTGGTTCAGTTCTGATTTCTCTGTTGATTTTCTGTCTGGTTGATCTATTTGTGACAGTGGGGTATTAAGGTTCCCCAATATAATTGTGTTATTGCTCATTTGACTTTTTATGTCTATTAATATTTGTCTTATATAATTGGTACATATATATATATATAGTTATCTCTCCTCTTAAAGTTTTCCTCCTGACAAGAAGTGTCCTTCTTTATGTCTTTTAATCATTCTTTGCTTGAAGTTCACAGACTAGCTATTCTTGCTTTTTTTTGCGGGGGGGGGGGGTTCTTGTTGCAGAGTATTGTTTTCCACCTTTGATTTTTAGTCTAAAAATTTCTCTTTTAGTTAAATGTGTTTCTTGTACACAACCTACTCTTGAATCTTGGTTATTGATCTGTTTTGATTGGTGAACTGAGGTCTTTGACAATGATAGCTATTATTGACATGTATTGGCTTATTTTTGTCATGTTATTTTCCTGTTGTTGGTTCCCTGCTTTTCCCCTCTGTTTAACTACTTGCCCTGCTTGGTAGTTTTGGTTTTTTTTCCCCTGTAGTAGTTCTTGGAATTGTGGTCATTTTCATCTTGGTCTATAATATTTCCCAGTACCCACTGTAGTGCTGTGTTGTTGGTCATGAATTTCTTCAGGTGTTCTTTGTCATAGAAGTATCTTATTTCTCCATTAATTTTGAAAGATAATTTTGCAGGGTATATCAATCTGGCTGGAAGCTGTTTTCTTTCAATTTGAAATACTTCACTCCAAGCTCTTTTTTACTTGAGGGTTTCTGTTAAGAAGTCTGCCATTATTCTGATAGACTTGCCTTTATAGATAATCAGTTTCTTTTCTCTACTAGTTTTAAATATTGTTTTTGTGCAGAAATATGGGCTTTCTATTATATGTCTGGGTGTAGATTTATTTTGTTTATGGCTAAATGGAGTTCCATCTGTCTCTTATCTGTATGTCAGGTTATTTTTCCATGCTTGGGAAAGTCTCTGCTATTACTTGTGCAACTAGCTTTTTAAATGTTATTTGTGTTGACTCTTGCTTTATCATTGACACTAATCAATCTTTGCCATATTTTGCTGCTATTGAATTTCTATTTCCTGATCTTTTATGTTTAAGGTATCTTTCCTTTCATAACCACTAGCCACGATCCTGCCTTCAAGATCTGAAAGTTTATCCTGTTTTGTTCAAGCAGTTTAGCCATCTTTCAACAGAGTTTTTAATTTCTTGGATACCTGTTTGAATCTGTTTCATGTATTCTGTTTCTTTCCTATATTGATCATTCACAGTTTTCACCCTTTTCCTATCATCTATTTTTTTATCCATCTCTTCTCTAGATTTGCTAAGCAATTCTTTTATGAATGTTGATATTTCTTTTTTTTTTTTTTTTGCCTGAGAAATTATTTCTGATCTGATGTTTTCTATAGTCTCCTGGATATGTTTCTTTACTCTGGTTGCTACCCTTGCAGAAATTTCAAATCTGTATCCTCCATTTTCCTCTATATAACTGTCTGTTCAACTTCTTCTGGGTGGATTGGAGGCTGCATTTTGCTTTTTGTCATTTTCTATTTCAAAAGTTTTTATTTTGGTTTCTCTGTTGATCCTTGTAAGTTTTTGTAGTAGGTAGCTTTATCACTAGTATCAGGGCTTCTCTAGGGAGTTTTATTCTTCAGGGTATCTTCAGTGTAGGAGGTGCTTGATTTGTATCTGTCTTAAGATCCTACTTTTCCAATTAATTAAAGTGAGATATTGGTATCTGTTTGGCTCAGTTCCTAGTTTTTTGGGGGTATGGTGAGGTTATTACCCCAGCACTTCCTACTACTGTTATAGAAGTGAGAACAACTGATTAAAACACATATGACTTCCTAGGTAAAGTAGCATAAGTAGCACTAACCATGATGTCAAGCACAGTTTAGAAACTGACAAACTGTGGTAACTATTTATTTTGTTCCTTTAACCATAGAAGCAAAATACACAGTTATACAACAGAACTGATCATAAATTGGAAGCTTATATGCAAAGCGTTTCTTCTTAGTGGGGTAGCTTTACCCTGTGGCGGGGAAATCTAGAAGGGTAATGTATTTAACAGAAATAACTGAAAAGAAATAAAATAGAATCCAGGCTGAAAGACAAAGGATGATCATACAAGGTTTGGGAAATTGCAGAAGAAGGAATAAGATAAAGAATGAAAGAGTAAGCAAGGGATTATTGAGGTTGACCAGAAAAATTAACCATCCACTTGTACGAAAATACGATTGAGTCTAGAGAGATACATTGAGGGAAAGGAGAAAAAATATGAACAGATTAGAACAAAAATAAAGATTAAAAGAAGAAAGGAAAAGGAAAGGAAAACAAACCAGCAGAAAAAAAAAAGAAAAAATAAAATAAAAAACTAAAATTCCTCTGGTGTCCATTGAGAGTCCAAAACTATTGGATAACACTGCCAAGCCTACAGTAGTTTCTGTACTGAATTTGAGGCTAATTTTGGCCTCCAGATGGGAGAGACTGTGGCCAAAGTCTTCAGCCAGTACTTTTTGTATATCCCTTAGTGGCCTCCCACTGTTTCTCTTAGAAGAGTCTTTCTCTCAGTTGCTGTGCGGTTTTCAGACAGAGACAGGGCTGTTCTCAGCCCAGTATGCCATTGGCTCCTCCTGGTCCTTGCTCAGCCTTGTTTGTTGCAGGATGATATGGTCTGGTCCTCTGCTCCTGCTGTCGCATTCCAAGGCTGCTCTGTTCCAATTCTTATTCCCCTTCCACGGTGGAGTGATAACTTCCTATTAGTTGCTTTACAAGATTGGCTGTTACCACTATCCACCTCTGCTGTAGTCTGTAACTTCCGTGAATTCAATGAGGTAAGGGAGGGGTGCCTGCTGCTCCTGACCCCAGCAGCATGATGCCTGGGTCTGCACAGTCCTGTGATACAAAGCTGTTTAATTCCCTGCATCTCTTTAAAAACACAGGTCCCAAGGTAGGTATTAGCTGTTCCATTTGCTACACACCCCTGTGGTCTTTAATCTTGTTCCTGACAGTTCCATTGAGTGCTCTGGTGAACAAAAGAGAGGAAGAAGAAAGAAAGAAAGAAAGAAAGAAAGAAAGAAAGAAAGAAAGAAAGAAAGAAAGAAAGAAAGAAAGAAAGAAAGAAAGAAAGAAAGAAAGAGAGAGACAGAGAGAGAAAGAAAGAATGAAAGAAAGAAAGAAAGAAAGAAAGAAAGAAAGGAAGAAAGAAAGAGAAAAAGAAAAAGGGAAAACTGCCTGATTGTCAGGGAAGGAGCAGTTTGTGTTGGCAGAATTTACTGCTAGACTGTAGCATCTTCTGTTTGGAGGAAGGCAGAAGAGGCAGGGGAGTTTATATCTAAGTGTATCCTGCATAGCCTGATTTAGACACACTATTTTAGCATATCCTACTCTTTTCTTCTTTTAAGATTCCAAGTATGGCAGGCAGTTATCTCGATCTTATAACCCACTGGCAGCTGGGTGGGCTGACTGACTGTCCTTAGTCTGTTTTGCTTGATATATTAGTCTCTTATGTTAGATGGATTTTAGTTTCAGGATGTATGTCCCTCCCCTTTCTTCCAATTACCTATAATTTAAGAATATTTGCACCATTTTTTATGCCCACACTTTTTTGGGGGGGTACTAGAATAGAACTCAGAGCCTTGTACCAGGCAGGTGCTATACTGTTGAGCTATACTTCAGCCCTTCATAACCTTCTGTATTTTAGTTGAATTTCTAAGTGGTTTTGAAAGAGGCTCCTCCTCTACTCAGCCATGTTGTCTTTTTATATAACTATATAATATAAATATATGCAATATATATTATATAAATATATAAACATATGTGACTTAAGTGGTATTATAATTTGTTTCTCATAAATAATGTAAAATAATTTTTAAGATAAATAAGTAAGGTCACGTTGGTGTTGAATAAACTGCTGAGCAAGACTCTCCCTTGTAGCTAAGAGAGCACCTACCTAAATCAGCTTGTTCAGTTTTGTCCACTGACAAGATTTTTTGGGTTATTTTCCCAAAGTCTTACAGTGACACATCCAGTTATGGCATAAATCTCAATGGTTTTTCATAGGTGGCTGAATCTAGCACATGTAAAAATGGATTGCGTGTGTGATAACTAAATTAGTCCATGGATTTAGAATGATGTAGGTATGGATAATGGGAAAGCCCACCCTGGATGTGGGTGGAATAAACAATGGGCATGTAGCTTGAGTGAAATTAAAGGGAAAGGAAGCTCACCAGTTGCTGGCTCCTGCCTGCCTACCAAGGCGTTTCTCCTCTGGTATGTCACTCTGTCATGCCACCCCCCACTGTGAAGGCAGTCAGTTATGGACTGAAATCTCTGCAGTCTCTGAAATGTTTCTTCCTTTAGCTTTGGGTGTTGAGTATTTTGTCCCAGCAATGAAGAAACAGGTAAGTCATGCTCCAATAAGTGCTATTAAATGTATTATCATATATTTAAATTGGTTATAATCAAAGGATGATATTCTCTATGTATAAAACTTTAAGGCTTTTTTATTAAGATGCTCCTGATTAAACTTACAAATCCAGATTTAAGAACAAAGGTCTATATTGTGTTTTCTATTGCTAAACTTTTGGTTACTAAAATTAAGTTTTAAAAGTTATATCAAATGTTGGCTTATAAAGCATTTTTGACAATAAATATGATTAATTATATATCTAAAAGCAATATATGCTATGTCTTTTTTAAAGTTAAGTTTAAGAAGTAAAAACTATGGAAGTCTAATACATACATAGTAACTAACATGTTGTCTTATACAATATAAATTGTGCTTAAACATATAAAATAATCAAAATTTGTCATTGCTTTAAGGTTTTTCCTGCCATTTAAAACTTGATATACATCTGTTTGCTTTGATTAAACAAATATTTTGTTATTACATAAATGAGATACACTTGTATGCTGAGTAATAAATGCAGTTTGCTAAACTTATAAGACCTCTAAAGACATTCCTTAATTCTTATCAGTACAACTGCACCCTATAAACATATCTGAAAAAATCTAAAATTTGCCTAAAATGTGAAAACCCAGTAAATACATACAAAAAATTCTACATATAGCCATGACAATAATTATTACTAACCTTATGATGTATTAAATGTATTTATGTTTTCCAAGTACATAGGCCTTCAAAGACGCAGCGCTAAAAATCAATTTATATACTGGTGAGTTCCTGACTAAAGTTGTTTCTGGTGATAAAACCTTTTATAATTGTTACAGCATTGTGTTATAGCAGTATGTGATTTATAGTTGCTAAGTGCTATCTCCAGACTTTTTAAAACCTTGTATAGGTCACAAGTCCCTAGATATAAAAATCTGTAGGATAAATTTTTTAATTGAGGTTCAACTGTTATGTACAACACCTTTTTCGGCCTCCCTGATCTACAGGCCTGCTACAAGGGCACTTACTACGGATATAAAAAAACAGATTTCTGTGTGACTGACAAAGATGCTTAGGCAAGTCAGGAAAAAAAGTGAGACAGGCTGTGGACTAACCTCAGTTTGGCAGGGCTACACATACAGTGGAATCATGTACCCCTAGAGAAGGCAGACAGCTTTCAAAGCCTACCTTAGATCTAAACAGGGTCTCATGTTTTCTTTTCTTTTTATTCTTTCTCTTTCTATTTCTCCCCAAAAGTACACAAGAGAGAGATCTTATAGTGTACATAAGATATGTAATATACATCATGTGTGCAAATAGCCCAATATTTATTCCCAAGATGTCACCTGTAAGATTTATTTTATAAACTCATGGCCAATTTAAGAGATTTTAAAAAATTGATTTTTCTCCAAATATAAGTCAAAGGGTTAAAAACAAGGCCTCAAACTTGGCTTTATAATGAGAGACGGTAAATAAATATCACATGCAACAATTTTTGGCTCCTTTCTGTGACAAAGTATTCAATACTAAAATAAAAATTTAACTATACTATTAGTGATAAAAATCCCAATGGTTTGAACCTAACAATGCCAACATAACTGTTATGCTAAAATTTTATGTCCTGTCCTGATTTCAAATCTTCCCTATAAAACTATATGACTGACAGCGGCCCTTCCAGGGGGAGAACCAGCAGCAGCTCCTGAGATCCACACCATGTTGGAACTTAGGACACTGGGAAGCCAAGCAACCAGCCTGCCTCCCTGCTAAGCAATAGTGAACCTACTAATGCACGGCCTAGAGCCAAACATCCCAATTCCCCTACCCTTCTTCTCCTGCCCCCCCCCCCATTTGCAAATGGGAACCAGAAATCTGAGCTATCCTGGGAGGTTGACCACAAGCAAATAAGGGGGACTTCCTTCTACTATCTCTTTGAAGGCAAATATTTTTATTACTGTTTTGTTCTATTCTGATTAGTGGTGCTGCTCTATTCAATATTGTTTTGATACGTTCTATAATGTTCTGTATTTCATCTCATTTTGATATACGTGATTGAAAGAACAACTATCTAAAGATAATGAAATATACTGTGATACCTATTACTGTTATCTGGGTAACCTGCTATGAAGTTCTGTACCAATTTCACTGTACTATTTTAGTTCGCTTTATTCTGTCTTGTTCTGTTGTATTTTACCACTTTCAAAATAAAATTTTTTTAAAAAACGTAGAATGTGGTCTTTATGCACAATGGAGTACTACTCTGTCATAAAACAGGATAAACTTGAATAATTTATAGGAAAACGGATGCATCTTGAGACTATAATGTTAAGTAACTCTGACACACAAACTTAAATACTGCATTGTTTTTCTTATATGGTTTTTCTTATATATGACAGGTAATTGGAGTAAAAGGAAAGAAGACAACTGTAATCCAGTACAATTGGTATTATAATCCAGCGCAATGTATCTAAAAGTGTACCTTGACTTAGTACATTTGCATTATTTTATCTGTTCTTTGGCATATTAAAAAAAAAAACTATATGACTGTTTTTTACTGGTGTCCCATAAAAATTTGTCGTTTAGGACAATTATGGTTAAAAATTAACTTTTCTAGTCACAGTGTATGTATTTTTTTCAGAGTTTAAGATAAACAAGATAATAGGAAATTAACCGTGGATAATATATTATGTATTGTTATCTTCAAAGCAGTTGTCAAATTAAAAGATACAGGCATGCAAAGTTTATTAAATAAACATAAACCATCCTTTTCAATGAATTAGCAGAAATTAGTAGTATAATTATCTTAGCTACACCTAGATATGATTTTAATAGTTAAACCTAGTGATCCTACTTCAGTACTGGTAACTAAGGCTTAGTTAGCGACCAACACTAAAAATGATAACTGGGCTACACAATTAACCAATACTACAGCACTGGCTCTCCAAGGTCAACAACACTAAAATAAAAATTTAATACTACATACTAAAATTTAGTATTTAGTATTACAGAGCCTGAAGAGTCTTCTCTGCAAGATTCTGCAACTCTGGAGAGTCACCAAATCTCCTGAACAGGAAATTGTTCAACACCAGGGAACAGAGTCAACCAAAGTACACTGTGCTAAAAGGAGGTCACCCAAGAGGAAAACATCTGTGATTCTAAGAAAAGCTGTACAGTCAAGCAAGACCATGACTCGTGCTGAAAAATGACACTGACAGAGGAGCTAAAAGGCTCTGTACACGTTTTGTAAAGTAACCCTGAGGAGTCTAAAATGACACTACTACTAGCAGAAGGTTAATTTTGATTAACACAAGTTTTACGTTAACTTGATCTTAAACATCCACCAAAAAATTATTCTGTGTAATTATAGTACACAATAATTAATACGCTGGACATGGTAGTGAATGCCTGTAATCCCAACAATGGGGAGGCTGAGGTAGGACTGTTGAGACTTGAAGGCCAGCCTGGGCTACACATTGAGTTCAAATCCAGCCTGGACTACATGGAGAGACCTTTTCTCAAAAAGAAATTAATACTAATTTAGACCAATTATACAAAGGGCGCTCCAAGTACATACTATACTGGCCCCCACTAAAAGTCTCCAATATATCTGTAATATTGTCATTATTATGGTTTAATAAGGGAATAAAGCCACAGTAACACCTACAAAAATTCTACATTCAATCACATGAATATGGTAGTCCCACTATAAAACATAAAACAGTGTCCAAATTTCAACCCCCAAACACTAGGGCAAACAAAAACTTTCATCCAGCATCACACATATAGGACAAGATCACTAGTTATATCTGGAAGGAAAAAAGCTAATTCTCTCCTCTGTAAGTAAGAAAAATACCTTATCAAAATAGTGGCTCTTTCCCTTTATGTGCTCACAGGAATAGCCTTTGCCCAACTGCTCCGAGTAAGGACCTTACTTGTATAAGCTCTTATGCTACCTGGTACCTGTCGGGGTCACTGTCCTTTCAACACATGTTCTCACTTAGTCTCTCAAAAAGACTACATAAAGACCAAGGCCATCTTCTTTTTCTGTGGCACTCAACATATTCTTGCCTGTGTGCCAACTAGACAGCTGCATGTACTTTACAGTATCTATTCCCCCTTCCACTTCAGTAGACCTTCTTAATGGCTCCTGGCCAGTCTTGGTTCTGATCAAGGTGATGACACTACAAAAACAAAAAGGGGTAATCTGATTTATTTCCTTACTGATAAAATTGGAGATGACAACAGGGATCAGTACAGTTAATAAGGGTCACATACTAATATCACTCATCTACTTCAACCAACTCTCTTTTGATCTTGCTGAAAACTTAAAACAAATGGCAAATAGCCTGACAGCACTTCAAATAGATTCACTAGCAGCAATAACCCTACAGTCCACCCCCAAGCAGGTGTAGCACAAAATCTATGTCCCCTTCTTTTGCACAGGAAGAGGATATTTACAAAGTAAGGATACTGGATCCTTACAAAGTAAGGATGCTGAATCTGTTAGTTATACTTCTAAACTTCTCAAGTTGACACAATATATCAACTGTAACAGTAGACCATGGGATAGACACAAAGACCAAGAACCACCTACATTTAGAAGATATCTCTGAGGAATAGACATTTCCAAGGGGACACTGAATACTAGTGATGAAGATATCTACCATACAAGCATTAAAGAGAAAACAAAGTAAAACGAAAAATACAAAATAAAAAGTGAAAAGACACAGAAGCAAAATGCAACCTTAGACTCTACCCCAGCCAGGACAAGTCCAGGACACAATGAGATACAGGAAATCAGAAGCCACCCACTAGAACTTTTGGAAATGATAGCAGCAGAAGTGAAAAAATAAGTAGCTAACACCATACAAAAAATAATATCCCAGCTAAAAAAAGAAATGTTGAACAAAACAAAAGTTATCAGAGAGACACCAATTTTAAATAGGAAATTAGGAAAATAATAGAAAGCATTAACACCCAACATAGGAAAAAAATTGGAATCCACAAAACACATAAAACAGAAATTTAGGAGATGAAAAATTCCATTGAAAGTATATGCAATAGGAGCTGGGGATTTAGCTCAGCGGCACAAGTGCCTGCCTTACAAGCAGGCAGTCGTGAGTTCAATCCCCGGTACCGGTAAAAACGAAAAAGACAAAAAATAAAAAAAAGAAAGAAAGAAAGTATATGCAATGGATTGAACAAAGGCAAGGAAACAGTTCGATCTAGAAGACAGGATTGCAGTTAGCAACCTTAAAAAGAAAAGTATTTTAAAAACAGCAACGGACCATTAGTGAAACAAAGACAAACTACAAAGATTGACTGGAGTCAATGTGAAAGCCAGAAATAGTGCAAAAGCCATAAAAAAACCTCTTCACATTATTAGTGGCAGAAAACTTCTCAAACATAAAGAATTTGACATATAAATAAGTGAAGCATATGGAACTCCAAATAGCCAAGAACAACATATATCTTCACCAAGACATGCAACGATCAAGATTTCAAAAATTCATCAGAAGAACAGAAATTAAAAATGGTGAAAAGAAATAAATCATCTATAAAGGAAAGCCCATTAGAATTACAACAGACTTCTCAACATAAAGCTTCAAATGAAAAGAGCTTGGAGTGAGATACTTCAAGTAATAAAAGAAAACAATCTGCCACCCAGATTGACATATCCTAAGAAACTATTTTTCAAAATCAATGAAAAAATAAAATAAATCCAGGACAAAGAACAACTGAAAAAATTCATAACCACTAAGCAGGTTCTCCAAAATTCTGTGAAGCACATTACAGAAAGAGATTTTTTTTTTTTGTCTTTTTCCTTTTTATCGGTACCAGGAATCGAACTCACAACTGCCTGCTTGCAAGGCAGGCGCTTATGCTGCTGAGCTAAATCCCCAGCCCCTCAGAAAGAGATTAAAAAAAAAAAGTTCACAAATACAAGAACACCAGTAGAAAGAAGCCACCAGGCAGAGAGAGCAATTAGACAGACAGGAAAGACAGGAAGCCAACAACAGGAAAATAATATGAGAAGAACAAACCAATACATATCATTTATAACCCTCAATGTAAAAACCATCAGTGTAAATGGTTCACCAATCAAAAGAAACACTGGTAGAATAATTCAAGAGACAAGATCTAATAATATACTGCATATAAGAAACACATTTAGTTCAAAAAGAAATTCATTAACTGAAGTCAAAGGATAGAAAATAATACTTTCATGCAACAGGAAACCAGAAAAGCAAGGTAGCCACTTTATTTATAGACAATGTGAAATTCAAACCAAGACTTATCAAAGGAGACAAAGAAGGTCACTACATACTTCTTAAGGGAAAATGTCATGAAGAAATAATAATCACAAATATATATGCACCAAGTATCAGTGTTCTCAACTATATAAAACAAATATTAATGGGCATGAAGACTCAAACAAGCATTAACACAATATAATGGGGGTACTCAATACTCCACTTTCACACATAGATCAAGTAGAAAAAAAATCAATATAGAAATATCAGACCTAACCAGACTTGTGAACAAATGGACTTAGTAGATGTCTACAGAGTATTCGATACCATAACATCAGAATACACATTCTTGCCAGCTGCATGTGGGACAGTCTTCAAGACAGACCACATACTAACTAGCCCATACAACATGCTTAAGCAAATGCAGAGGAACGAAAATTATCCCATGTATATCCCATGCATATTATTTGACCATAGTGAAATGAAAATGAAAATCAATAACAAGGAAAATTCTAGAAACATATGGACATTAAATAACACCTTCCTGAATAATCAATGGGTCACAGAGGAAATTAAAGAAGAAATAAAACAGTATCTATAATTAAACAAAAATGAAGATACAAATACCAGAACTTATGGGATGCAAGGAAAGCAATCCTAAAAGGGAAATTTACAGTGGTGAATTCTCTTATCAGGAAAACAGAAGCTAAAATAAGCAATTTAAAGTTGAACCTCAAATTTCCAGAAAAAGAAGAACAAATCAAACCCATAGCTTGTATAAGGGAGGAAATTATAAAGATAAAAGGAAAAATTAATGCAATTGAGACTAAGAAGAAAATATAAAGAATCAATGAGTTGAAAAGTTGGTTCTTTGGTGCTTCAAGTTAAATTGATAAACTATTAGTCAAACTTACCAAAAAAAATAAAATAAAATAAAGAAAGAACAAGGATGTTGGTTATCATCACTTCTATTCAATATAGTTCTGGAAACATTATCCCGAGCAATTAGACAACAGATTAAAAAGAATAAGGATAGGAAAGGAAGAAGTTATGTTATCTTTATTTGCAGATGACATGATACTTTACATACAAGACCTCAAAAACTCCACCAAAAGACTGGTAGATTACACTGCAGCCCTTCCAGGGGGAGAACTAGCAGTGTCTCCTGAGATCCACGCCATGTTGGAACTGAGGACACTGTGAAAACAAATGACCATCCTGCCTCCCTGCTTAGCAATAGTGAACCTACTGCTACATAGCCTAGAGTCAAATATCCCACTTCCCCTATCCTCCTTCTCCTCCCCTCCCCCCACCTATTAGCAAATGGGAACCAGATATCTGAGCATCTCCTTGGAGGTTGACCATAGCAAATAAGGGGGACTTCCTTCTACCATTTCTTTGAAGGCAAATATTTTTATTACTGTTTTGCTCTTTTCTGATTAATGGAACTGCTGTATTCAATATTCTGTTTTGATAAGTGCTATAGTGTTCTATATTTCATCTCATTTTGATATACGGGATTGAAAGAACAACTATTATAAAGATAACAAAATATACTGTGATACTTATTACTCTCATCCCGGTAACCTGCTGTGAAGTTCTGTACCAATTTCACTGTACGATCTTATTTGGCTTTATTCTGACTTGTTCTGTTGTATACTTTCAAAAAAAAAAAAAAGACTGGTAGATTTAGTAACAAATTCAGTAGTGTGGCTGGATACAAAGTCAGCCCTGAAAAATCAATAGCATTCGTGTATACAAACAATAAACTCATTGACAGAGAAATTAGTGAAATTACAACCTTCACAATTGCAACCCAAAAATGAAATTTTTTAAAAAAATTATTTTAAGGAGGGTAAAATTAAACAGAACAGAACCTAAGAAAACAACGTAAGAGACACAGATTTCAAAGCAAGACAATCGGAGACCTTCACTATTATATTGTCTCTTGTTTTCCTCCAAATACTTGTCCAAAACTTCACATACAGTGAATTCATACAAAACAACATAGTATAAAACTGATCCAAACAGGATGATGAAGGCATTTTAGGTCCTCAAGACCAGACAATAAGGAAGTCAACAATGGCTGTCACAGTGTCTCTCGTTCTCTTCAAAATAGCTATCCATACCTTCATGTACATTGAAATTACACGAAACAAAACACTGATAGTTGATGCATATATATTTGTGATAGAAGTCACTCTGAACAAAGAATAGTATTGCTGGATTTCACATCATGATGCTATGGAATCAGCACTGGGTACCTTAGTGTTCTCTTTTTCTTCCTTTCTGTTTTAGAGGGAAAAATAAAACAAAACAAGACAAAACAAAACAAATTCCTAGAAAAACACAAAATGAAAAACTCACATAAAACCACAATACAAGGTGATCTACAATGGTTACTATGATGTCTCCTGTTATCTTCAATAGAATTGTCTATATTATCAGGTATAATAAAACTGAACATAGCACTACATACCAATATCAATAAAAAAACACATTGGAGACATTATAAGACTGCAAAAGAAGGTAACAGTCCAACCAGAGTGAGTATCCTAGTGAATCTTGTTATCTTCATAGTATTTGCATGTACTCTGACTTGATACTATCAATCATAACAGATTCGAAAAAAATCAATCAATACAAAACAGTGATCTAACAAACCAGATTCAAATAAAATCAGTCATAATAAGACAGTGTAAGTTATACAGGGTTTCAGATTAAGTTAATAGGAAATCAAGGATGGTTACTGTATTATATTCTGCTATTTTTGGAATAGCTGTCTGTCTTCTCAAATCTAGTACAAGTAGACAGATTAGAACAGAATATAATCAAACTAAATAGAAAGACGAGAACTATGTGGATTTTATATCCTGATACACTATTAATAATGTCCTCTGCCTTCCTTTTTAAGACAATTCCTCCTCTTTGACTTTCACAGGATGCACTGTACATTTTGGGTCCCACTGTAACTCCTTTAGTTTTTAGGTTAGGGGTACAATCTGTTTTTACCTAAGTGGTTCTGAATCTTTTTACCCCTGGGCTTGATCTTAAGTTGTATTCCTTTACCTACTAAAGCCTCAAGGTTTTCCTTCCTTATAGCTGAGTAGTTCTATACTGCACAAAAGCAGCATGTCTTTCCAACCTATCTGTAGGTCCTGGATGAGCTGCCACTATTTCTCTTCTGTTCCCTGTCACATACAGCATTGTTTTCTCATCTTTAACTTTCGGTCCATAAACTCTCATTCAGGTTAATTGTATTTCCTATACAGAGCATCTCGATGGATCCTATCTCCTGATCGACTCTGCCTGTGTTTTTTTTTTTTTTATGTTAGTGTATTGAGGCTATCTATGTTAGAGATTATAGCTAACCTTCTCTGCTTCATTTCTTCTATGCTATTTTTCTGCCACTGGTTGTCTACTTTTCTTTTTCATTCCACTGTCTGCCCTGTTCATTGAGGTCTCTTTGTCCCTGTTCCTGAAATCCTGGTGTTTTTATTCCTCCTTCTCTAGAATGTCCTTCAGCAATTTTTGTAGGGTTGAATTGGTGGTCATGAACTCCCCCAGTTCCTCTTTGTCATGGAAGCATCTTGTTTCTCCATTAATTTCTAGAGACAGTATAGCAGGGTATATCAATCTGGGTTGGAGGTTATTTTCTTTCAGGCCTTGGAATACTTCACTCCAAGCTCTTCTTGATTTGATGATTTGTGCTGAGAAGTCTGCCATGATTTTGATGGGTTTTCCTTCACAGGTGATGTTTCTTTTCTCTGATGGCTTTTATTCTCTGTTCTTATGATGAATTTCTGAGATCTTGATTATTATATGTCTGGGTATAGCTCTGTTTTGGTTGTAGGTGGCTGGAGTTCTGTATGCCTCATCTGAATATCATTTCCTTTTCCTGTGGTTGGGAAGTTTTCCTTAATTATTTCTGTGAAGAGCCTTTGTATTTCCTTTGTGTTTACCCCTGCTTCTTCACTCACATTTTTTATTCTTTTTGTGTGTGTGTTTTTAAAATTTAATTTAAAGAAAGAATAAACAAAACAGAAAACAGGTAGAAATAATACATAATTTCTTTTTTTTTTTTTTTATCGGTACCTGCAATTGAACTCACAACTGCCTGCTTGCAAGACAGGTGCTTATGCCACTGAGCTAAATCCTCAGCCCCAAATAATACATAATTTCAAAGAAAAAATAAACAGTAAGAAATCACTAGTTGATGATTATAGATTATTTTCTTACAAATAGTTATTCAAGATACTAAAGTAAAGCATATAAGGTAGGGATTCAAACAGTGAGATTGCAACCAGTTCTATTCAACTATCCAACAAAAACTTAAAAATATGGTTATCAATCCTATACGCTTAAACATACATTCATCCATCTCTTCAATTATGTTGAGATTGAATAAATCCAAGTAGGCTAATATCACTCTGAACAAAGAATAATACTATCGCTGGGTTTCACATTATGACACGCCAGGATCAGCACTGGGTATTTTAGTGTCTCTTTTTCTTCAAAGTATCTGTTCATTTCAGCATGTTGTCATAAGATCAGTTCTCATAAACTGTTTATAGATTCGACACATGCATGAGTCTTAACATGTGTTTCTATGCTTTCTATATTAGAGGGAGAAACAAAACAAAGCAAGGCAAAACAAAACATATTCCTATAAACACATGAAATGAAATAAACATATAAGACTGTTGTACAAAGAGTTCTACCATGGTTCCTGTGTTGTCTCTTGTTATCTCCAATACAATTGGCTATATCATCAGACATAGTATTATTGAATATATCAGTACATAACAGTATTAGTAAAAACACAACTTTGTATATAGTATAGAACGTCAAAAACTGGCAATTATCAAACCAGAATGTGTATCATAGTCTTGTTGTCTTCAGTGTAGTTGCCTATACTCTCAGACTTGATACTATCAATCATATCAATTTTGAATAAAATCTTCTCTGCCTCATTTCTGTTATGCTCTTTTTTTGCCATAAGTTGTCTGCTTATCTTCTTCATTCTGTTTTCTGTTCCATCCATTGAGGCCTCTCTGCCACTGTTCCTGGAATTCTAATATTTTTCTCACTCTCTAGAATGCCCTGCAGTATTCTCTCTAGAGTTGGATTGGTGGTCGTGAATTTCCCAAGTTCCTCTTTGTCTTGGAAGCATCTTGTTTCTCCATTAATTTCTAGAGACAGTATAGCAGGGTATATCAATCTGGGATGGAGGTTATTTTCTTTCAGGGCTTGGAATATTTTACTCTAGACTCTTCTTGACTTAATGGTTTGTGTGGAGAAGTCTGCCTTATTCTGATGACCTTCCTTTATAGGTTATCTGTTTCTTGTCTCTAACAGCTTTTAATATTCTGGTTCTTATATTGAATTTCTGGGATCTTGCTTATTATATGCCAGGGTGTAGCTCTGTTTTGGTTGTAGGAAGCTGGAGTTCTGTATGCCTCATATATCAGAATATCATTTCCTTTTCCATCTTTGCTCCTCCCAAAGCTTAGACCACATTTTTTATTCTTAAATTGTAGATCCTGTTGTCATCTTCTGGCCTTTGTATTGTTACTGCCTGTTTCCTTGTTATTTTTAAGAACTACTTCCCTTCACAATCACACATTGCAAACCTACCTTCAAGTTTTATTAATCTATCTCTAATTTCTTTCAGGCGATTCTGCCACTTTTAAATGGAGTTTTTAGTTTCCTGGTAATCTCTTTGAATTTGTTTCATGTATTCTAGATATTTCTTATATTCTTCATCGAAGGTTTCTCTCCTTTTTTTGTGTTCCTCCATTCTTCCATCTGTGTCTTCTTAAGAGGTGCTTAGCTTTTCTTTTATTAATCTTCTTATATCTTGCTTTACTTGCATTAATATTTCAGTTTTGGGTTCATCTATATTATCAGGAAGATATTTCTTTATGTCAGCTAATGCTGTGTCCAATGTTGCATATTTGCTGCCCTTGATTTCTTCTATATTTACCTCTCTTGGACCCATATTCCCTGGTTTGGCTGGAGGATTTTTCTTATTTCTCTCTCTTGTCATGTTTCTTGTTTCTTCTATACAGGTGTATGGTGGAGGTCCCAGCCCCTTTCCATATTGGTTATGGTTCTTCTGAAGTGTACTGGCTAGGGATTTATGCCCTCTCCATTTTGCTACTGGTCACTGAGGTGCATGGAGGGGTGGTGTAGGCTGGCCCCACTCCTCTGAGCCAGTCAACCAGCAGAGGCCTTCACCACATTAGTATGTGCTGCGCAGACAGAATGGGTTTGGGACAACTTTGGGGGCAATTTCATCCCTGGCTATTGAGTACCAGCATGACTCAGCCCAAGCAGATCCCACCAATTGCTCTGGGTGGGGAGCAGCCAACTGAAGTCACTGCCTTCCTTGTTCAGATTCATCCTGCCCAATACCAGTATGTCATCTGGTCAGTCACACCTCCTCCCGCGTGAGGGCCAAATTTCAAGCACTCACCTCAGGTTAGTGCAGGTCTCCACGCCAGCTCTGTTCTCTGTGGGGCTCACCAACCCCTGACTTCAGCACAACTGTGCTTCTGATGAAAGCACCGTGACTGCAAGTTGGTCGGGCTCAGGTGAGAGTGCTGCAACCATGAATCAGAACCACTCCAGTGAGAGCACATCTGGCTTCAGCTTTCCCCCATGTTGTCCATATTTTTCTTTCTTTCTTTTCCTTTTTCCTTAGTTTCTTCCTGGGTCATGAGAATCCCTCTCCTTTCATCCAGTCTTCTCCACAATGGTAAATTCTAGCATCTGAGCTGTTTCTCTCAGAGAGGCTCTACCTTGCTACTTATGGACCTGACATCTTCCTAAAAATGAAATTCTTAGGAATCAATCTAACAAAAGAAGTAAAAGATCTATACATTGAAAATTACAGTACTCTGAAAAGGAGATTCAAAAGGATATCAGAAAATGGAAAAGTATGCCTTGCTCATGGGTAATAAGAATAAATGGCCATAATCTCAAGATCCTTGTACAGATTTAATGCAATCTCAATAAAAATACCATTAGCATATCTCACAGAACTACAGAAAACATTCTTACAATTCATGTGCAACAGAAGAGATAAAGAATAGCAAAAACCATTCTTAGCAACAAAGGCAAGACAGAAGGCACCACAATCAATAAGTTGAAATTATACTACAAAGCTACTGCTATAAAAACAGCATGGTAATGGCAAAAAAGCAGACCTGAGGATCAATGGAACCAATTACAAGATGTGAAAATAACCTCATACACACTCAGCTACCTTATGTTTGAGAAAGGGGACAGACACTTTTACCAGAAGATAGCCTCTTTAAATTATGGGGGCTAGAAAAACCGGCTTTCCATATGCCAAACAGTAAAACTAGACCCATGTCTCTCACCATGCACTAAACTAAAATTGAAATAGATCAACATTCTGAATATTAAAACAAACACTAAATCTAGCAGAAGGGAGAACAGGAAAAACTTTTGAAGACACAGTAACACAGAAAGATTTCATGAATAGAATTCTGATTAAGTGAGAAATACTACAAAGAATCAACTGGGACTTCGTCCTATTAAAAAGCTTTGGACAGCAAAAGAAATCACCAACAGAGTGAAATGACAACCCATAGAGTGAGGAAAAAAATCTTAGCCAATTATCCCTCAGACAAAGGACCAGTACCTATAACATATAAAGAACTGAAAAAAATCAGGACACCAGATTTAAAGTTGCAATCCAAAAATGATTGTCTGAGATAAATATACAGTTTTTAGATGAAGAAACACAAATGGAAAGTAGATATATGATAAAATGTTCAACATCAAAAAAAATGTTCAACATCACTGGTCATTCACAAGATGCCAATAAAACAACACTGAGATTCTATCTTTCTCCAGAAAGAATGGTTATTATCAAGAAATCAATGAATAACAAATCCTGATAGGGCTCTGGGAAAAAGGGAACCTTTCTCTATAGTTGGTAGGAGTGTAGACTAGTGTAGAATGGAAATAAGGGTGGAGAGTCCTCAAAAAAGCTATCATTAAGAGATCCCATTCCATCCAGCTATTTCTCTTCTGGGTATTTTCCCAGAAGAATTAAAAACATCATGCCAATTCCAGGTACCAAAGAAAGAAAGAGAGAAATCATACCACAGCAATATTTGTGGACCAATTTATAGCAGCACAGTGTGTAATAGCTAAATCTTTTTTTGTTTTATTGTTTTATGCAAACATATTCTTTTTTAAAAATTTTATTTAAAGAGAAAAAAACAAAACAGAAAAAGGTTAGAAATAATACATAATTTCAAAAAATAAACAGTAAGAAATCACTAGTTGATAAATTACACAGTGTCTTCTTAGAAATAGTTGTTCAAGTTACAAAAGTAAAGCATACAAAGTGGGCATTCAAACAGCGAGATTGCAAACAGTACTGCTAATGTATTAGCTAAATCTTGGAAACAGCTCAAATGTCCATCAACAAAATTTGTCTTAAATCTCTTTATGTTTCTCCCATATTCTGCAGTAACTACATCTGTCATTTGCATCTCAAAAATGTAATACAACTTTTGAGCGCTGTTGGCTCGGTGATTTTTTCCAAAAATTTTCTACAGAGTACAAAAATTTCTATTACCACAAATCTAGAAGACACATCAATCTGTGCTGGTTGGTTTTATTTTGTTTGGTTTGGTTTTATTTTAAATCTGGATTGATTTGAGTCAGCAAATAAGGGAAGTCCATAGTTGTGTAGAAGAATGAAGCTGATGAGGTGGGAGAGGCATGTTGCTCTAGACAAAAAGAAAGAAAGAAAGAAACCCAGCCAGCCAGCCTACACAGAGAATTTAGGTCATTAGTCTAAAAGTAAGAACTAGAAGGGTAAGTTGTTGGTCTCTTGAACATTATCACTGAAACCAGCTCTAGGTGATAGAGCCTCAAGTAGGATGACTCATGAGTTAACATGCACACTAGGCCAGAGGCAGTGCAGGTAAAACACACATCAAGGGATCAACAAAGTGACTTGATTCTTGACAACAACATTAATTGTTAGATGATAAGCTCTAGGAGGACAAGGATTTCTGTTTCCCCAGTGGCAAACTGTAGTCTTAGCACTTAGAACGTCAGTGTGTGGCAAATAGTAAGTATTAGGTACATTAATGTTTGAATGTTGCATGTGTTATTAACCTGAAGGATTAATATTCAAGCAAGATGTGAAGATGACCAGGTGTGGCGATGCACACCTATAATTCCAGTACTTGGGAGGCTGATGCAGAGGACTGTGTGAGTTTGAGGCCAGCCTGGGCTACATAGTAAGTGTAAGACCACCTTGGACCCTCCCCCACAAAATCAAGTAAGATGAGAAAAAAGGAGGGAATAAATGACTGAAATTTCACTAGATTGGGGGTCATTAAGAGAAAAAAACTACCATCACTAAAATGTTGGTTGGGCTGGAGGACTAAGGAGATTGGTTATGGATTCATTGACTCTGGGTTTTGTAAAGCATAGTACTCTGATTATATTTGAGTGCTGAAAAATACATGTTGAACTGAATGTTCAGAAAGCTGTTAGAGATACAAGGCTAAGACTTAAGAAAGTAGTTAGAGCTACAAATAGAAGGCTCTCATATTTCTCTACAGAAATTGGTAAGTGAACCCAAGTCATCCCAGATATAAAGTTATAAGGGAGCTCTAGGGAACACGCACATTTCCTTACATGATCTGTGAATGAACCTATGAAACATCCTGAGGAAGTGAAACCGAGATATTTTCAAATATTTAATACTGACATTTTATTATTTTCTAGCTGTGGACTAAAATTTTGTCTATGTAACAGACTTTCAATGGCAGAATTCTTGGCTTTAATGAGTCCAGGAAAATTCAAAATACTCAACTTTGTACTCAATACCTAGCGAAAACTTTTATTCATTACACAGTTTTTTGGTTCCAAAGTCTAAAACTTATTTGACTTTTCAAAATGCACTGATTTGTCATATAACGGCAGAGGCATACAAATGAATCTTACCTGTTCCTATCTCTTTCTCCAAGCAAAAGCAACGTATATGACAAAAAGTTGGAAAGGTCTGAGTAAGCAGAGGTAGCAGCTTTCGTGGAATATTCAGCATCAACCTTGTATTCCATTAGCGTGGTTCAGTCTGACAAGCAGCCTTCATAAACATCCTTGTGGTAATGCAGGAATTTCTGCAATTTTAGCAGTAGATGAGTTTCTTTAACTCTAAGGGGGAGACTAATAGATATCCAAAACACTGTCCCTGTCAAGGTTCTGATGATATTGGTGCAGATGTTCCTTCACAATATTAGTTTCTGTCACCACTTCCCAGAAAAACAACCAACTCCCCTTTCTCAATATAGAAAGCTCAGTTTGACATGTTACTAAGCACTAACGTAACAGATTTCCTAAATTTCAAAATGCTTTGCAAAACCTATCTTCTTTTCAGTTACAAAAGAAATAGGTGGGGCTGGGGATTTGGCTGGGGCTGGGGATTTAGCTCAGTGACATAAGCGCCTATCTGGTAAGCAGACAGTCGTGAGTTCAGTCCCCAGTACCGATTAAAAGGAAAAAGACAAAAAAAAAAAAATTTAAATTAAATTAAATAAAGAAATAGGTGCTTTTTGTGAAAAACCAAACATCAAAAAATATTTTTAAAAATACTCATGAGTAAAACGATAAATCCAGCTCTATTACCCACAGAAGAGACAAAGGTGCAAGCTAAAATACTAAGCATAATTAACAGACTACATAAAGACCCAGCATAATAAGGGTACCTGTATTACTTTGACAAATGGTCAGTCATGGGACTGGAATACAAATGAGGAAAATGACTCCACAGATAGATGGGAAGGGCAGATATTACCCTCCTCTCCCGGGAGGCAGGAACAGGCCATAAACAGAAACAAGAGATCAGTCTTCTCACCCTAGGGATCAGTGAAAAAGAGCTCTGGGCAAGCAGCTCCATGATGTAGGCATTTCAGAGCCTGGCCCCACCTTGTCTCTAGAGTCCCCACCTTGTCTCAGTGTGTACAGACAGCTGCTCCGCAACTAAGATTCCTTCCTGTGTTGACAATGTCACCAGGAGCCAGATGAACGATCCTATGTCATTTTGCCGCCACCTTCCTACTCTTTTCGTCCTCCATCCTCTTCCTCCTCCTCCTCTCTTCTAGGTTGCCTGTTGGCTTGATGCCAAAGTGTCCTCTAAGGAGAAACCCTGAGGAAGTTTAATTATGGGTTTGAAATTCAAATCCCACAAAAAAACAAAACAAAAACAAAAACAAAAAAACCCTGAAGATTCAGCAAAAAAAAAAAAAAAAAAGAAATTCAAATCCCAATAAACTTTGTATATTTTATAGCAATCACCAAACTGCCCTCTAAAAAGGAAGTACCACTTTACATTTTCATGAAGTTTTCTGACACCTTTTGACAGAATTGCATCTCATTCATCTTTTTAATTTTTGTCAATCTTATTAGACTGATTATGAAAGCACACTGAGATGTTTTCACACGCTTATGAACTATTTGTATTAGTTCTGCAAACTGTTTTCTTTTGGCCTGTGTTACGCACTTTCCTCCTAGTAGCTGGAACAAAATACCCAATATCCACAATTTTAAAGGAGGTGAGGTTTATTTTGGCTCACGTTTTAGAAGCGTCAGTCATTGCATAGTTGGTTGCATGGTGAGAGCCTGGGTGGATGAAAGCTGCTCATGTCCTTCTAGCCAGGAAGCAGCAAGACAAGAAGGCCGGCCAAGGAGAGACACCCTTCCATGGCATGCCCTTGATGAGCTGCATTTTCTGCTCAGATCCCTAACCTAACATCAAGGCAGCTATACCTCCCCCGTAATTCAGTCATCTTCTAAAAGCCCTGCTTCTGAGTGCATGATAGTTTTGGGGATCACTCTTCATTTAAACCGTAATATAGCCTGTCTTATTTTAAAATGGGTTACTTTTCTATAGACTCACACAAATTCTTTATATCTCCTGGATATTAACTATTTTAAAAAATAAAGTGGCCAGTGTTGCTTAATTGCTGGTATATTTTCCACCATGCAAATCTTCCCCGTGCTTATATGTTTGGAACATGTTTATCCCTTGACCCTAGACTACTTAGCCTCCAGCCTATGGGAGAAGGCTAAATATAGACCCGAGACTCGTCTCTGAATCCCTGATAGGACTGGTGGTATATAAAGATGCCATCATTTGTGAAGTCAAAAATAAACTTCTTTGCAGATTTAAATTTCTTTTTCATGAAGTGGGAATCCCAGGAAAAGTTCTCAATGGGTCTGCAAAATATAGCTGGGACCTTTCTCTCAAGTGGAGACAGTAAAGTATGGTGCTGCTTAAAAGAACATAATTGATTTTTATGAAGATTTTTAAAGTTAGCAGAGTCATAACCCTAAATCAGGATTTCGAGTTGTCATACACTGTAATTTATTTGTTGAGGTAAACATGTTCAATGAACAATTGCTCATAGGAGATTAAAAAACCAAGACAGCTAGAAGATTGAGCTGGCAGAATCTTCACCGTGACTCAGGGGGAAGAGTTGTCCGTAAACAGGATTAGGTTGGTCAAGTTCAGAAATTCAGTTACAAAAAAAAAAAAACAATAATAAAGGATGACCTGAAAATAGAAGAGGGACTTAGAAAAGGGAGCAGGGAGGGGAAAAAGAAAGAAAAGAAGACAAGAGAAGGCAGAAGGGAAGGTGAATCTGATCAAAGCATGATATGTGCATCTATGAAAATGAAAATCCATTAATTTGTACAATCAATATGCGTTAATAATTATGATAAAAGCTGACCAACTTCAAACCTTGAGGAATGTTAAAGACATCAAATAAAAATTAAAGAATTATTTACCCATAAGGGTAGGGCATAAGAAAAGTAGACTCTTGTCATTTCATATAGTAGCTATCTCCTATCCTGGGGTTCACCAAATCTGCTATGGCTTCCCTGCTGAGAGGACACCCTTACGAGCAGGTTTCTCTTCCAAGGAGTAGACATTCTTAATACCAGCTTGCCAGGAAAGGCTGTACGTGGGACAAAACATGAGATTTTTGAAAGCAGATCCAACATGCCGGATGAGGCAGAAATACTACATTCTTTCTGAGCATGTGAAGACACAAGTACTAAACAGCACCATGGGACAATGTAGGAAACCTGGTTTTTACCTGCCACTGAATACAGAGACCATATAAAACAATTTCATTTTATTCCAAATTGTTATAAAAGACAAAGCAGTACCATATGTACCCTGCCTAAGTACTCTGACCCCAGAGGACTTTGCATTACAAAATGTCCCCTCTGCCCACATGACTCATCCTTCTTACCTTATTAGAACAAAGCTACAAAAGGCCTGAGATACACATTATATATTTAGACACATATAAGTATATATTATTATATGTAATTATATATGTACATTATGAAAACATTTTTCCCAAAACAGCTACCAAAAACATGAATACAGAGAGGACCAACAACCTATAATTCCATCTCCCTGCTTAATCCTTTGTCAGTTTCCACTGGGATTTAAAATCTCTTGCTAGTAGCAACAATGCTACACAATAATGTAGCCTCAGTTTTTTCAAAATAATGTTACACAGATCAAAAGCCTCTGCCAAAGGAAGTTGCATAATGGTGATACCCTGGAAAGAAAACTGGTTTTGGTTTCTGGCACTTGCATTTGAATCACAACTTCAAGTTTTTCATTTCCACCACATTATTCTGGCCTGCAGAGTGGGTCAGAGGGCAGCCAACTTATTCTGGGCAATGATTGGTACTTCTTTGTGTTATTATAAATCTACGTTTTCCTTCCTGAGTGGACATATTTTTGTGACAGGAAGTGTGCCTAGTATTCTGTCATTGTTTTAATTCCGCTAATAACCTCTAAAATATACGATATTGTCTCACTTCGCAGTGGACAAAACGAAAGCATCTGGAAGCTGAGGCCCTTGCCTAAGGTCAAGCAGCAGGAGCCATAATAGTCCCACTAACTTAGGGGAAAGGCTGTCCCTGCTTTTGTCCACTGAACACATGAAACACTGCCATCCTCTAGGGACAGCGCATGACCTCTTCCCTTCCGCACATTTCTTTACAGTGTCAAAAAGTCCCAGAACTCAGAAGGGATGAGAAGAAAAGCATATTTAATTTTGAAGAACATAAACAAGGGAAGTACAATGAAGAACTCAGTGAAAACTAAAAGAGCAAGTAAATCTCAAGAAGAATTAGCCAGATGGTCAAATTCTCTAAACCTTACTGACCTGATGTCCCAAGAGCCTCGTTTAAAGTGACAAAATCTGTGTGGATCATGTCAAAGGTAACTTGTAGAAAAGAGAAACAATATGAATAATTCGAGCCCTTTCAGTGTTTTGATTAGTAAAGGTCAGGATTATAACAAGTCCTGACTTCTAGGGTCTTTGTCAGAATTAAGATAAAAGCTGAAAGGCTGATCACAGATGAAGTAATTTGTTCCAGTGTATGCCACTTTGTCAGCTTTGAACTTGTCCCATGTCCAAAGTCAGAAGTCTCCTCTGGTGTAGTCATTTGATGGCACATGATTATGTGCTCAGTGCCAAAAGCTTGGAGCTATGAACTGAATGTTTACGAGGCAATAGGTTATGTGAATAACATTGAAATTTTAAAACTATTCACAGCCGTCCAAGTATGAGGACATAATCAATATAGTAGTCTTTTACTGAGAGAAAGCTACTTTAATAAGAAAAAAGAAAGAAAGAAAGAAAAAAAGCATGTCCCATATTTTCTTCATCCTAAAGAAAAGCCACTGACACGTTTGTTCTTGAAGACCAGAGCCTGGGAAGTGTGGCTCTCTGAACGCCCCTCCCCTCGTGCTGGGGACCAAACTGCGCGCGACGCCGCGCGTGGCAGCCAGTCCCGGTGCCACTGCTCGTGCGCCGTTTTCTGCCGCCCGCCTGTGCGGCGGCTGGCGGGGAACCAGAGCGCCCGCCACCCTTCTGTGGCTTCTACAGTTTTCCTGACAAACCCGGCGAGATGGGAGTGTCTTCTTGGCTGAGGAAATCGACCCTCCTACCTTGTCCTGAAGCCACCCGCCGTCTCTCCTTGGCCCTCCCTTCGCGGTGATTTTCCTGTCCCGGACGCGCAGCCAGGGCGTGGGGCTGCTGTCCGCCGCGGGAGAGGTAGGGCCTCCTCGCCGTCCCGGGTGGGGGCGCCCCGCCGCCTCTCTGCGCGCTGCACCTTTGGGGCGAACTCCGGGCGACCCCGGAGCAGGAGGAGCTTCCCTCCGCCCCGGAGGCGCTGCGCGCAGTCGCCGCGGATCCCGAGCGGGCGCGGCGCGCGGCGTGGGGGCCGCGGGCTTCTCGGACCCGGGCGGCGCGGAGGTGCCTCGGCCGCCCGCCCCGCCAGTCTGCAGAAGGACCCGCGCCCGCACCGCCCTCCTCAGGCTTCCGCCGGGCGCGCGGGCTCCGGGACCACTGCGACGGGCGCCGGAGCGAGGCAGCGGCAGGAGCGAGCGGCGCGCGCGGGCGGGGAGCACCGGGTTGGGCGCGGAGCCCGCAGCCTCTGCAGTCGTCGCGCCTGGCCCTCGGCGGGTAACTTTCTCCGGCCGGCTTCGCCGAGGGTTGTGCGGTCGCGGAGAGGGAGGCTAGGATGCGGGGAGGCTGGGTTCCGACCCAGGTCCTGGAGGCCTGGAGTCTGTTCCGACCAGACCTTCAGGCTTTGGCGCCTCCGAGGCTGAGGGCTGGGAGTGGTGGACACGCGCGCTCGCGGACCCACACCGCCCGCCAGCCCCGGAGGTCGCTGCAAACGCGAACCAGCGGGGTGCTCAGGGGCGACGCCGAGAGGCTTGCCTACGCCTCCCGCTCCTGGGGCTGCCCAAGAGGACCAGACGGGCGGGTTGCCTCGCCGCCAGCCCTCTCCGGGCTGTGTGCTCCGGATGCCAGGGGGATGTGGTCGTGGTGCGCTATTGTTTGCTTGTAAAAGGGTTTGTACTCCTGGAGGGACGGGAGGATTCTCGGCTTTTCCCGTTAAAGTTTTTCGAAAAATCTGTCTTCCTGCCATAAGAGAATTAAACCTAGCAAAGCAGGCGCCGAGGCTGTTGAGGTCGAAGGGTGGGCATAAGAAAATGCTATCTTTGGGCCGCTGTTAACTTTTTAAGATAAGGTGGAGAAGAAACATCATTTTGCGGTTTTTGAGTCGCGAGTTCCTGGCGACTTCAGCCCTTTTCCTGTGTGCTGTTATTTTGTAATAAAGGAGAAATCTATAAAAAGCGACTTCCAGAAACCTAAAAGGAACACAAAGTACTTGTTTTAGAATCTTCAGTAAAAACTGGAGAAGGGGGATCTGGAAGAGAACAAGCCCAAGAGGGAGTGGTGTTCTTCACAGGCAAGGTTTAAAAATTGTGAAGGGGTGGGGCTGGGGAAGCCGTCGCAATGTTAACCTATCAGAAGCCACATAGATTCCAAATTAGAGGATCACAGTATATAGATAGATGGGATCTTCATATCAGCTGGAAGCTTTTTCTTCTCTTGGTCGCAGTGCCCCTTGCGCAGGCCTCACAATCTTTGCTCAGATCTCCTATGACCGCCTTTATTTATCCTACCCGGAATGTTTAACGTTTCTCTCTCCAGACTTCCTCTGTCTGCTGCAGACCACGAAACTTTTATTTACAAGGAAATGTGAAGTAAGTGTTTGGAAAGGTCTAATCAAGATGCCAGGTCGTTTCTCAACTTGAAAAGAATGCTGATTTAGCATTTGTGAAATGAATTGTGTTAGTTCCTTTTTCTCTTATTAAGGAGTGTTTTTGGAATCAAGATCTGGTAAAAAGTGGTTCTTAGATTGTTAGTGTTTCTCATAAGGCTGACTGCCTTAAAAGCACTTTACATAATGGCCACTTTGTTTTAAAAGTTAGAGGAAGTGTTTGCATTATCCTTGCCTGACTTTATATAGTGAATGGGGAGGGTGCTCATTGATTGTCTGGCAGAGATTTACTTGAAAAGTTTTACACAATCTTAGACTGTGGGATGTCTTGATTTAGTACTGCAGTTAAATGAGAATGCAATTATGACATTTCAGTAAATTTATTGGAAATACTTAATTTGTTCTTCTGTTCCAAATCAGTAAGAAGAAATCTTTGAGCCTTAGAAATGTAGACAGTATTGATAAAACCATAACATTAAGAGACATATCATGAAAAACTATGTCAATGTAGTCCAAAACTATGATGCACATCTGTACTCTAAGGTACTCTGGAGCCTGAGGCAAGAGAATTACAAGTTTCAGGTCAAGTTTGGCAATTTATGGTGATTTTGTCTTAAAATAAAAATAAGTAAATAAAAAGATCTGGAATGTAGCTTAGTGGTACTGCCCTTGCCTAGCATGTACAAGGCCTTGATTTCAATTCCCAGTACCATAGAAATGTAAATACTGTAAATAAATAAAAATCAGAGTCCCTTGCGAAATTATAATCCTCTAGTTTCTGATTCTAGAACTCAGTGATAGAGGTCTGGATTTCACAGCCATTGTCGTCCGTTGTCCTGCATCATGGAACATAAATGAATAATGCCATGTTTCCCACATTCCTCTGATAATTGTGCAGACTGCCAGTGGCATCAGTGGGAACTATGATCTCAGCGAGGATTGATGACCAAACATACATTTAACATGCATTGGTAGATGTTTACCGAGGTGAAAGAAGTATGGAATATATATGTGATACCCACCACGATCCCACATATGTTTTCACGAGCCATTTCCTTCTTATATCTTTGAATAACTCCCAGAGACAAGAACTTTTAGCCCTGTTTCATAGCTAAAACACTATGCCCTAAATTAAGCCATTTACGGTGGGTTACATAAAGATCTGTCTCAACTGTGTTTTGTTTTATCACAGGAAGCTTCCATAGCATATATTCTTCAAAATTTCTATTCCCTGTGCATCCATCTCTTTTTTGCTTTACACACACACATACACACAATTTTATAATCGCCTTGATTTGAATATACTTTCCTAATTACGTTATTTGTATCCACTGCCTCCTTTTCCTTTCTGTAGCTTCAGACTATCACTAATTAACTCCTGTCTTCTGTGCACCTTTGACGTGCTGTTTAGATGTGCTATGTTGGCCAGTCCAGGAGGTTAGACTATCTCTAGTGGCTTGCATTTCAAAATTCTTTTCTTCCTGAATGTATTTTCAGTAATACCCTTACTCACTTTTTATGGACCAGCTATCTCTTACCTGATGGAAGTCTTTTCAGGGCTATATTGCCATGTCACATAAACTTTTTTCTCTTGTCTATCCCAATACAGTGGATAATATATCTTAGTTCCAAATTAACTCTTATGCGTTAAAATATATATTTGATTTGGAGGGCGCTTTACAGGTGCAATAGAATATATACCTTGGGTGTTACATTGTTTCAGCAGTGTACTGTATTTATACTTCCATGTTAGACTGTTATACTTCCACATTAGGGATAGCAGGAACTCTGTACACGGATGGTGATGCCTGAGCAGAAAATCAGCCAGTGTATCTCATACTTGGTTGGGAACTTGCCTGCTCTATGGTCAGAGTAAGAATGATTGAGGGAGTGATGCTATGGGGATTTTTAATGAGACTAAGGGCTAGTAGAATCTGCTTTATTCCCCATGTCTATATTTCTTTTCTTGGCGAGCTTTTGGTCATACAAATAGAAATGGCTAGCTTGTCTTTTATTGCCACAATCTTTTGATCTGATAGCAGGAGCTTTCTTTTTCCTGGACTGTTGAGAAGGGGGCAAAGAGAACAACCAGCCGTTAGGAAGTTTTTTTTTATCATAAATACTAAAAAGTTGAGTGAAAATGTTCCTTTCTTTTCCTCTCGAGTACCCCAGCCTAGGATAAAGTGTGCCTAATGGTATTATTTTATCCACTAGTATCTAATACTGGACTTTGAAGAATTTTTTAAACACTCTTTATCTGATTTGAAATGGAAAGATCTTCAGATAAGGAGAGGAGGCCTCTAGATAAGACTCAACAAAGCTGAAGATTGTGCAGAAGTTTTAGGGTTACTCTGACTTTCCGCTGGTTGCAGGCCTGGAGTTGATATGGCTGTGGGTGACTATAGTGGAATGTGGGGCCACAGTGGAGCAGAGACTGGTTTCATGGTGGATTTGGGTGAATTCCTACATGGTCATCCATAATGTGGGACAAATTTACAGTCAATAAATATTTACTGGGAATGCGCCAGATAACAGGAGATATTCTGGGCAGCATGGAGCATTGTGTGAAAGTGTTGAACCAGACCAAGTAAGCTCTTGCATTTATAATTTATGTTTCGATGGAATCAGAGTCAGTGGATGGGATAGAATTAAACAGTATTTCTGATAGAATGAGTTTTGCAAAAGCAATGTAATGTGGAAATGTATTAGGGGACAGAAAGCTAGACCAGTCAGAGAACTTCTCTGAAGAGATGACACTTGTGCTAAAACATAATTGATGGAAAAGAACCAGTCAGTTGAAGAATAGGAGGAAGAGCAGTCGAGGTAGAGGGAATATATCTATCTGCAAAGGTCCTAAGGCCTGAATGTAGTTTAGGTGTGGGAGAAACAAAAGCTAAGTGTGTGGAAAGAGTTGAAGAGAGTGCAAAAGGGGCATGGCAGGAAGAAAGATAGAAGGGAGGAGATTTTGAAGAGGCTTCAGATCTTGGAAAGGAGTTAGAATTGTTTTCTAATTAAAAATGGAATGCTGCTGGAGACATTTAATTAGGGACGGGCTGACACTTCAGTGGGCTACACACACACATGCACGCACACACACATGCACACATGCACACATACTTTTACTCCCAATTGCTCTTTCTTCTTGCTCATTGGGCATCACTGATTTCCCCTCCATGTCCTAGGCCTGTGCACTAGGACAGCCACACACAAGAGCAGGGCTCAGAGGACGTTGTGCAATATTTCTGGATCCTCTGCAATAAGCCGGTATACCTGCTTGCTTGCACCTGCATGCATAATGGATTTGATTTCTAGCTCTGATTTCTCAGCCACTTTTTAGACCGAATTATCTAGTATTCCATGAAGTCTTTGGGTTGGCTAGTAACATCTGAAATTAGATACCAAAAATTGTCTAGTTAAGTCAAGTCACAATTGGTAATAATTTTCAAGACAATCACTGTTGTAACAAGCAATATTCTGAGTAACCCAAACTTCTTGCTTCTGCCTGATTCCTGCTGTTTTTCCCTTTAAAAATTTCTTGGTCATCTGTCACTGTAGGTACAGGCTCTGTTTTATAGCACAGGTTTCATGGAAATGTACAGGACTCTTGTAATATTTGTCATGGGCATATACTGTGTGTGAGAATTTTGTCTTTATATGATCTTGATGGAATTAGGGTACTGTAGCAGAAAATTACATGACATTTATTATTTCTGATAAACTAGTAGGGCTGGTTTATCAGAAATGAACAGAAGTTCTAGCATTGGTAAATTAATCTTTGATTCTAGGATGTCTCATCATCAGAAATATATTCTTGTCGGGAGAAGACTACAATTTTTAGAGAGGAAATTGTTTTGGTGATTGTTTGACCTGGCTTTTTTCTTAACCTTGATAT